CATCTGCATAGATGGTACATGTGCTAAATGCCTGGATTCCGAGCCTCAGGGTGTGGCTGCCAGTGACCCTAGAAGCAGGCCTTGTAATTGGAGCCCACATTGCTTCTAAGATGGAGCATGCTTTAAGGGTGGGGCAAAGAGGGAAGAAAGTGAAGTCTGGGGGAGGCAGCAGTTCCCCACTGACTGTCTAAAGTGGCCTGAGCAGGTCCCCTCATGGAGAAGCCTCAGCTTCTGTGTTTGTTTTTGATGCTTAAATGATTTTATGGGATTGTAAACTTAAATCTTTCTTTCTTCCTTTCAGGCACATAGCAGTATTTCCATGCAAGATGAAAATACTCCCTCAATTTATTTTCAATTCTCGAGATCCAATAGTGATGGGAGTGACTGTGGAAGCCGGTCAGGTGAAACAGGGGACACCCATGTGTGTTCCCAGCAAAAATGTAAGTTCTGAGAGAACTTTCCTCTTAACCATTTCTTAAAAAGCAGTAAATGGAGTCGAAGAATGGTAACAAAGAAAGTTTTGGAATAGAAACCCTCTCCTCACCAGACAAAACCAGAGATTCTGCTTATAGAACATTTTCTCCTAGTTGTGTAACCAAAAAACAAACCCATTTAGACTCAGTGGGTTTCTGAAACTAAGTCTTTAGGGTAGCAGAAAGCCTCACCTTTCTCCCGTGGTTATGTCTACAGTGCCGCTCTCTTTTGTAACTCCTGAGGAATTTGGTTTTGAGGCAAAACATTTTTCTTTGAGAAGTACCTGGTAACCCAATTACCAATTCTGATGTATTTTAGAATCCCTTAGCCAGATAGCATTTTGTGAGAAACTAATCCAGAAAAGAGCTGGCATAAATTATCTTAGATTTGATGAAACTATCATTGCAGCATGGCTGCCTTTTTGGAGTCCTGGTCTCTAGGATAAGCTAACCACAGTTCAGCGGTTCAAACCCACCAGCCACCCGTTGGAAACCCTGTACAGGGTGGTTATATATAGGGTTTCACAACAACGAGGCTGCCTTTTAGGTTTTGTCTTTTACATGAGACCAGTATGTGTGATTTTTAAACTGCTTCCTCAGTCACTAAAAATTAACTTTTCTTAGGAATTTATTTTCATTCTTGGGCCTTCTGTATGTCAGAACAAGGTGCTCGGCTGTCCTAAGAGCAGTGGCTCTCAGTGTGATTCGCAGGCCTCATTCCTGACCTACTGAGCAGTGTGGAGTAGGTGGAGATTGAGTTCTGTCTACCCAGTGACAAGAGTTCTATGCTTTACCTGCATCTCCTTTACATCTCAAAATAGTGAGGTGCTGATAGGTACGATTGTCTGTGTACATTTTTCACAAGAGGAAACTTTTCCAATAATGTTGTTAACCAAGGTCATATTGTCACCTTGGTAACCATTTTCCTGTAATGCACTGATTAAGGCAGCATTGAATTTGAGGATCCCTTTCACTAACTGTAAGTAAGGTTGGAGAGTTCAAGCCCACCAACCACTCTGTGGGAGAACAATGAGAGTCTGAACCCATAAAGATTTATTTAGTCTCAGAACTCAAAACAGTTCTCCTGTCCTGTGGAGTCACAAAGTCAGAATGGACTCGATGAAAGTGGATTTGCCGTTTTTAATGTAGCTGCAGTGCTGCTAGAGCTCCCGATCGTGAAAGAATTTGGACTCTTTACTGTGGGTGGGTAAAGTTGGAGGACATCTCCTGTCACTTAAACTTCAGTATTGCTAAGTTTGGTTTCCTTGTTTTGATTCTTAGCAACTGATATCGTTTCTTAAAGGAAGTTTGAATTATTGCCAATGTTCACCTTGAAGTTTCATGAACACCCTTTAGGTCAGCATCATGTTTAAGATAAATGAACATTATCATCCATTCCCATCCACATTTCATCAGTTGTCCCATGGTGTCTCTAGTGACTCCACCCAGCCTGGAACCAGATTCTTTTTGAAGGTACATTGCAAAAAAAAAACAACCACCAAAAAAACGGTCTCCCCACCTCTTTTGAAGAGACCTGTTATTTCTTTATAACCTTCATTGGGTTTCTGAGGAGCGGCTGGCTACTGAGCTTGAACCGCCAACCGTGTGGTTAGCAGTTCAGTGCCTGGTTGCAAAATGGTGGTTCTTCCCCCTGCTTTTTAGTAAGCATCCTAGATTCAAGTGTTATAATCCATTGCTGTGGTTATTTTAATATGCAAATAGTATCCATTTTAGTTAGAACCAATTATTGAAAGGAACTTTTGAATAGTTTGTAGCTTTCGGTCATACAATGCTCCAGGCTCATCTAGTTATTTCCTTAACTTAGACCTGGTTCCTATAGTGGGAGATGGTGGATCTAAGACGTTTGCAGTGATTATGTACCTTTGGCCTTCTAAGCCATGTCCCTGGTCCCTCATACTTCCGGTACCCTTCTCCACAGAGCAGCCAGAGTGCTGGTGGTCTTAACAGATATCATGTCACTCACTTGCTCAAACTTGCTCCAGCTCCTTAGTATTCAAGGTTCCTACCTGGGTGTCTAGGATCCTGCTGTGGTCTCGCACTTTTTCATTGAACTGCTGACTGCAAAGTCAGCAGTTCAAACCCACCAGCCCCTCTCAGAATGCTAACACAGGGTCGCTATGAGAACTGACTCAACGGCACTAACCACCACAAGGTCCCAAATGATCTCTTTTCATAGCTCCCCTGTCATCCACATCAGCTTCATGCCTACCCAGCAACCACACCAAGCTCAGGCCTCCCTTGGAATCTAGTGAAAAGCTACAAGCATCTTGGTGATCTTTTGTTCGATGAGCTTCTGATGAGGACATTACATGCGATGTGAAACCTGACATGATGAAGTTTAGGACTACAAACCAAGGCTTTCTAAACGGGCTCTTGCTACCGCTTTTCCTTCAGCTCTGCAGTCATGGTTCCCCGGGACAGGCAGGATTCCATACATTGTAGGTATTGTTTTTATTTTACAGTTTGTTGATATTGGAATAGTAACAAGTATTGAAATAAACCATAAGCAAGTGGATGTGGCAAAAAAAGGTCAAGAAGTGTGTGTGAAAATAGAACCTATCCCTGGAGAATCTCCCAAGATGTACGGGAGACACTTTGAAGCAACAGACCTTCTGGTCAGTAAGGTAAGTGTGGCAACCAGACCGGCCATTTCCAAAGCAGGCAGCCCTTTTCCGCTGAGTACTTGAGTTTGAACTTAATAGGATTTGATGGATCTATAGTCCTCATACTTGCTCCTCCTAAGTAGACCAGCACAAGTGAATGCCAGGGCTTCTAGATTCCCCTTCTTACAGCCAAACAGATGTTGTCCTGGGGTTATACTCACCTGAAAAGCAGGCAAATACCTAAGTAGCCTTGGTGACAGGCTGTGGGCCCACATGCTTGACACTTGTATTCACCTTGTTTGTACCTCGGATATTGCAGATCAGCCGACAGTCCATTGATGCTCTCAAAGACTGGTTCAGAGATGAAATGCAGAAGAGTGACTGGCAGCTTATTGTGGAGCTGAAGAAAGTATTTGAAATCATCTAATTTTTCCATCTGGGGCAGGAAGTGGAGTCAATGCAATATTATGTTGTAGTATCACCAACAGAAACAAGACAGAAATGGAACGGACTATTTGGACACCGATGGACTGAGAGTATGGAAGGAAAAAAATAGGTGTATAAAATGTTTTCCATGAGAAACCAAGAAACTTACACTGGTTTGACAGTGGTCAATTACATGTCCCCACAGTTCCAATGTGCCTGTTGACCCTGCCCACTCCTTTCCCCACCTCTCTACTGGCTGCTGTTTTAAAGTTTGCCCTTTCCCAAATTTGAATTTTTATTACAGACCTTAAAAAACTGTCAATTTTATACTGATTAAATCAGTACTGCAGTATTTGATTATACCAAGCTTCTGCAGATTTTGTGATTCTTGGGACTTTTTTGATGTAAGAAATACTTCTTTATTTATGCCTCCCACAGTAACTTTTCCAGCATTATTCTGCCATATGCCCTTAGAAATTTTTTAAAATAGAAAATTAGGTATTTCTTTACCTGCTTTGTGTGAAACCATGGTGTAAAACATAGCCGGCTGCTTTTTACTGCTTGTATAGTCACGAGAGTCCAATGTAATCATTACAATTCAGAACTACCAATAAAGAGAGCACGTTGACCAGCCAAAGCTCTGCTAGGCTTCCATGTGAGCAGAGCTTCTCATCCATCACTCCTCTTCAGTGCAGCGCACTCTTCTGTCTGTAGTACCCTGTGTGCCTCGTACATATTAACACGATGACACTATTACAAACTATCACCATGCACATGTCTATGACTTGGCAGTAATAGGGAATTGTGAGACCATAACATGTTTCTTTTTGTAAGTGGCTGCTTACAAAATAGTTGCTTAAAAAATAGTGATTTCTTCACATTAATAATCTGACTGGAGATTTCCTGAAGAATATGGAGGAGTGGGGCCAACCAAGCATTATGTATGGGGGAAGGGGATATATATATTCCTTCCTCCAACTTTAAACTGCTCTAGTAGTAGTTTAACAAAGCTCTCCTGTCTACTATATAGAGCACACAAGCAAAGTACTATGAGGCTATATTTTTAAAAAGACTTTATATATGTTTGAAAATCTATACTATTTCATCATTTTAATCTAAACTATGACAGAATTCTCCTTGAAAAAAACAAAACAAAATGTATGTGTAGGGCTAATGTTCTAATTAGGTAAGTTACCCCACAGAGAAGCATCCTCCATGTAAGATTCGAATCTCTACCCTTGGAACCAGTGGAATCCTGGTCTGCGACTTCTCAGGAATTTCAAAGCTGAGCAGAGTCTGGCCTGGAGGTTTTAGGCATAATAAGCAATAGTTCAGCAGTTGCTTTAAAGATTCACAAAAAAGACCCTATACAAAATATACATACAGTTCTTTATTAAACAACTGTAAACACTTCACTGTAAAAATCCATAAAACTTTATAAACAAACATTTTGTAAATAGAATCTATGCTACAGTAAAAGAATTAACACAATTATTTACATGCAATACTGACAAATTTGGCACTTTTTGAAAAGAAATGTACAAAACACTTGCTTAAAAAGAAATTTAAAACGAGAAAACTCAGAGCATTACTGTCATGCACTCATGGCACAGCTAGTGAGAGCTCCCGGCTCCCAGTGAAATTTATGTAACTTTTAATGTGCTTCCATACGTTTGTTGTAAGACCACCTGGACATTGTCAAGAATAAAGTCAAATGCCATAGTCCAAACCGATTCCACCGACTGCTGCATCAACCTGAAAGTGGGGGAAAAGGGGAGCATCAATAGCAAATACTGGTTCCTTGTTGGAAAATTACATTAAGCTATCTTTGCCACTGAGTTGGTTCCACTAGCACCTGGTGGGTTTGAACCGCCAGCCATGAGGTTAGCAGTCCAGTGTTTATCATACTTTATGTTTTGTTTACAACAAAAAAAATCAATTTTGTTTTTTAAAACAAGTATATCCTATGAAGTTAATCATGTTGTATAAAGCTCCAGTCTTACTGGTGTTCTGACCGGTTTCTGTGGGGTTCAGAATGGAGGGAGTTCCCTTTCACTAATCCTAGAGAATGCAGTTGTTATTGCTGATTTCACGGATAGGAAATTGAAAACATACTCAATACCCTCTCAGTCCTTATGCCATGTGCCCCCTTCCCGCTTTGATGAAAGTACCTTTTCATGTATTTTATAACTAGATCCAGTTTTTCCAAATCTTTTTCCTCAATCAGATCAGTACAGTATTTCACAACTTGGAGAATGTCTTCTTCCATTGGATCTAGGGGAAGGGAACAACCTCAAATGAGAACCAATGTCTCTTTATGAAAGAAAAAAAAGCACTGATTTTTAGTCCTATACTACACCTAACAAAGGCCAAGCCAACCTGAAATAGTAGTTATCCATTCTTTGAGCAAGGTCTTCACGTCATTGAATTCAACAGCTCCCGCTAAATTAGGTGCTGGTGGTCTAACCCAGCTGGACAGGTCAGCCTGTAGATCAGTAAAGTCTGATACACCTGAAGTTGAGGCAGTTATCGCTCCCTGTAAGAAAAGAAAAAAAACACACACAAAAAAACAGGACAAAATGTGCTATAGTTACACAACACCAAGTACAGTTAAGAACTTTATAAGAAACGTTAAGTGCCGTTGAGTCGGTTCCGACCCATAGCGACCCTGTATAGGTTTTCCGAGGAGTGACTGGTGAGCATTACCAGGGGTTTTTCATTCACAGGTCCTTCTTGTTTCAGAAAATCATCGATCAACTTCTGGGGGCTCCCACTGGGCCCTGGCAGAGCTTTTGCAGGACTACTCAGCAGCTTGTTTCTCAAAGGGCTCTGAACCTTTTTCTTGGGGCTGATGGGATTGTTTTTATTTCTTTTCTTCTCTTTCACTGCTGCTGATTTTAGCTGAAGTAAAGGGTTCTTTGGCACTAAATGACAGACATAAAAATCCTTTACAAATGTTGCAGATAGTACATGGGTTCTCTGTAAAGAATGGTGTTTTTAAAGAAGTACGGATACAGACCCAGCTAGGAATATAATAGTTTGCCCACATTTTATATACAAATTCACTTCAGACATCCCATCCCCTCCCATGAACAGCTTAGACTCTGGCCATTAAACACTACTATAATAAGATGTGAGCAATGACTTCAGTTCTCTCATCTTCACTTTGTAACACGTCACTTCTAAGGCTTACCAGATGTGCTGGCTGGTGGCTGGTGAGTGGTGTTTTCTCCCTGTCTTTGTCTTTGATCATATGCTGCTTTCAGCTCCCTCTGAAGCTCAGCAGGAAGGGCAGCAAACACCTCAGGGTCCACCTAGTGGAAAAGAAGACAGTTCAGTCATACCTGGTAAGTTTACTCCTTAGGGCAACCGGTTTGTAATTTTCACAAAAACATCTTGTTTGAAAAACCACTTTTCTGGCCTTAATGAATTCTTAATAGGTCATTAATACCAAAGCTCATTAAATTCTCCAGATGTGTAGGGTAAGAATAATAAAATCTAGAGTACTAGATAATGAGTAAAATTTAGGCTCATGTGAAATGTGTTTTAAAATTTCCAATTCAGACAGACTGACTGGCTGCGTGATACTCAGCACCCTGGTGCACTTAAGTGTGGGCTAGCCAACCATTACAAGGGCACCATATGTGCCTTTTTCACTCTGGGCAGAAGCTTTAAGCACCCTCTGAGGTCACACTGGGTTGTTTCAGAGCCACGGCAGAGGAGGTGAAAACAAGCCTCAGAAACTCCCAGGACCACAGAACTTGAAGGAAGGATGGGAATGTTGAAACTGTAGGTGGTCCCTAAATCTCAGGAGATTACCTGTGAAAATGCTGGAAGGGCTATGACATTAATCCCTGTGTCGCTGTCAGATTCTTGAGGTTCTGGTATCTGTAACAAAACTGTCCCAACTGGCTGTGGCACTATTCCTGTAGCACAGCCATTTGCTGGTTCTTTCTTTTTGTCTCCATGTAGCTCACTTTGCTGAATAGCACAAACTTGCTCTACTTGTTCCCGGAGATCTGGTGGAAGTGCCTCTAAAACAGACTGATCGAGCTATAAAACACCAAACGCAGGCGTTGGAAGTTAGCACACATCTCCGAGATAATGTGTTTGGAGAATTAACACAGTACTATGATTTCACTAGAACATTTTGGAGAAGACACATAAGGTCCAGATCAGGCAGTGTCTGGCCTTTCATCATTTAACCATAAGAGGTCAAATTCCAAGTTTACACTACTAGTCAGTACCACGTAGTCAACTAACTACAAACATATGCAGCAGCAGGACAGAGTTTGATAGAGACAAATCTACTTCGTCCTGCTGATGGGCAGGGGCCATACAACCAAAGCATATGTTAAATTTCTGGGACCGGGTAACAAGATACTGAGTCAGAAATTGACCTTCCAGATGGGAGACTGTCCAGAAATAGAAATAAATCTGAGTCTTAGAGCAGCCAGCTAAAATACAGTGTTTCTGGAAGTTAACTTTTCTTTGCCTGCATACCAGAAGCCCTAGCTCCTTTGGCCAAACCCAACCTGGGCCACCAGTGCATTAGTGCCCTTTGGAAACCTGCAAAGTCATGAACTAGGAAGGCCAATCTATCCCACCAGGAAGCAGTTATATTTGGATGTCTCATCCCAAATGGGGCCCAATGCAGGCATATCTGAATGGCCTACTCCTAAGTCCTCTACCTCGACATCTTCCATTGTAGGGAACAGAGGTGGCCAAGCAGACTTTCACAGAGAAACCATTTGCAAGTGCCAGGAAAACCCGAGAGACAGGCCTCAAATTTACTACTAATCAGCAAAGTTTCTTTATTGGATAGAGTAAGCATAGGGGACTCACTGTTGCTAAAACTGCCTTTTACGTGATTTACAACTTGCTAGAGTTTTGATTCTTGGCAAAAACACCGTCTTTCACCAAACCCAACAAGTGTTACTTAGCAACATCATTATCCACCGTAATAGGTAGCAAATGTCACTCCAATTGTAAAACTCCTTGTGTACTTATACCTAGAAGTATAAAAACCTACCTGGGAAGGTGATGGAACCTCTATACTCAAGTTAAGCCTGGATTTCAAACTGACGGGTGAATGCAGACCATTCTGCACTGAGCACTCCGCTTTGCTGGGAACGGGACTGACTGTCGATGCCAGGTGTGCAGGAAAAGATGGCAACGAAGTGCAAGTTCTAGAAGCAGATGAGATCTCAAGATCCATAGCAGCCAGAAATACTGCAATCAAAGACAGGAAACCGCCCCATCAGATCAATCATCTGGGGGGCTGACTTCCCATTGTCTACTTTGTAGCAGACACAAAGGAAAGGATCCCAACTTTATTACTGGCTTGCCATAAGTAAGAATGTAAATCTGATCCTTAAAAACCACATCTAGCCACACCACATGATTTAGATTAGCTGCCTGCTTTTAAGTCTGTTGGCACGCAAGGACCTCACAAACGAGCCACCCACCTTCCTTGTGCTCCTCTTCTATGGATTTCAATTTCTGTACTTGGAAGAGATCCACGACGGAGTGTGACCCACTAGAAAACTGACTCGACTGCACTGAGGGGCGGCTCGGACACACGGGAGGGGTCTGATGAATCGGTACCAACTGATTCACATGAATCCCAACCTAAACCAGAATCAAGAAAGCAGATTCCAAGGAAAACTTGTGTTATCTTTAACACTATATTCTAAATCCTGTTTTTAGAATAAAGGACAAATGCAAGTATCAAAAGATATTAACTTTTATATATAATTTGCATGACTCTGGAGTGTTCAGTGGCTGATTTTCTTCTCAAACTTCAGTTACCCAACTCTCCCTAAATATCACCATTTCTTTTAAAGCCAAAACAACGTCCAAACAAGTGAAATACTGCATTCCACCCACACTCTGCCTTCTCCTATTTCCTGTTTCCAGAGCACTTCTGTAATAAACTGGAGCTGTGGAGGATAGTGTGGGCAGTGGACATGTTCTTGGTACAGATAACCTCTTCTCCCTGACCGATTTCTGGGAGACATTTTCATCATGGAGAGCTAATGCATAAACCCCACACAAAGCCATAGGATATCCTTTACTTGTGTCTATGTCCACATATCGCTGAACCTACAAAGGGAAATCTTTAACACAGAAATGTGTTTCGCATGTCCCCTGGCCTCTTCCTGACATCTGTTGCAAAGGCATCTTCCTTTATACTCTTCCTTCCAGATCATCAGAATACATTTCTGATTATACAAGTTATTTATAGATTTACTTTTTATAGTCTATAATTGTAGGGTAAAGAGAGCAGATGATACAAAGTCATATCAAGATCCAAGATAAGATTATTACCCAAGGCAGAAAACAACAGATTTCAGAACAAATCTTAACTCTACTCTAAAAATGAAGAGGTGAGGTCAAATGAGAAAGTAAAAAGGTTTCCTGTTCTCCTTGGACTGTATTATAGGATCTAACAATCTTCACATAAACCCCGTATGACCCACCCGCCCAGTCTCAGATCCAGCCACAACGAAAAAACCAGTACAGAAAGGTCCATTCTATACTCACCCCTCTCATATCCAATATATTTAGTTTCATTGTATGAAACATGTTCAGTATAGCCTTCCCAATGACGTCAGCACTATCTGTGGCCTGGTCCAGTGTTACAGTCCTGTGAATGCCACAGTGATTTGTTTAAGGGAACAAAATACACTCACTAATACCTCAGTAGTAGTACCACATCAAAACGCCCAAACCCACTGCTGTGAAGTTGACTGTGACTCACAGCAACCCTACAGGACAGAGTGAAGACATCCATGATGCCCCCCCTAAAGGCTCTCAATCTTCATAGCAGCAGACTGCTACATCTCTCCCAGAGAGAAAGAAAAGGTCTTCGAACAAAGAATAAGCAGTCATAAACAGCCTCTTATGTTTAAAATGCTACAGGACAATATACATTGAATTGCAAGGTCAGTTTGAACCACAGGTTGGTGGTTCAGACTCACCAGTCACTCCTTGAAAGCCCTATACAGGGAGTCTCTATGAGTTGGAACTGACTAACAGTACTTAACAACATTAACAATAACAATCTATTAGGACTCCTGGTGTGGCTAGACTGCTAACCACAAAGTTGGCAGTTCAAACTCACCGGCTGCTCCTTGAAAACCCTATACTGACTGGGTCGCTCTGAGTAAGAACCAAGGTGTCAGCACGTTAACAACAACAAAAGTTATTGTTAACAACAAAAGCACGAGGTTAACTATAAGATAAAACATTTTTCCTATATCCATTCTTTCTCAAGAAGATATGCTTGAACAACTGAGAGTAAACTAAGAGACCAGATAACCCAGGACCCTAAACTTTACGGTACTGGAGAACACCCTAAGGGGCGGTTTCCAAGAAAAAATATTTCACTGACAGATTACCTGATGTACACAAACATATTGGAAGGAAATTCAAGATTCACCAAAAATCAAGTAAACCAAAAAAAGCACTTCTCAACAAGTTCAAAAAGAAAGTAAATGTAAACACAGTACAGAATACACTAGAAGGATCAGTTGGACAGTGTACATGTAGTCACTAGGAAGTGATTAGGACAAAACTGATGACCTTTGCAGGGACTAGGTAGGGAAATACATGCAGGATAAGCAGCAATTAGCAACTGAAGGAATAAGAGCATAAATCCTCATCTACAGCAGAGTTCATTAATAATGTACACAAAATAAGCCAGAAACTCCTTTAAATATATCTAGAAATATGAGTGTGAATGCTAGACGAAACCACTAGCCAGGTGACAAGAATGAACTGAGAGCTGGTGAATAGGGATAGAGGAAATGATCATAGTTAAAAACACATTTTAAAAAAAGTTGCTAAGTGATAATCAAACCACAGTTCTCATCTGCATGTGACTTCTTAGACTAAGAACTTCAAATCTGTCATTTCTAGTGAAGTATGATAATGTATCAGAGTCTGCCAATTATAAGAGATCACAGGATTATGAGACACAAACATTAGAACAAAACAGGAGCCCATAATTTCTTCCTGTCTTGAGAGTAAATATTTTGGGCTTTGCAGTCTCTTTTGAATATTCTTGTTTTTCAAAATCCTGTATGTTTAAAACCTATTCTGAGTTCATGGGTCATATGAAAACAGGCCACAGATTGACCCATGGGAAGAAGTAGTTTGCCCTCCCTGAACAGTGGAAATACAAGGTCTGCACAGAAAGGAGGCTTAGTTACACAGCTGCTAAATAAAATGCCAGCAATTTGAATTCACCAGCCAGATTTGACAGTCTGCTTCCCATAAAGATTGTTGTTAAGTACTCTTGAGTCGGTTCTGACTCACAGCAACCCCTGTATAGGGCTTCTGAGGAGCAGCTGGTGAGCTTGAACCGCCAACCTTGCAGTCCAGCACATTAACCCACAGTGCCACAGCAGGACTCCTTACAGCCTTGGAAACCCTACAGGGAAGTTCTGCTCTGTCCTACAGGGCCAGTGTCGGTTGGAATTGACTCCATGTCAGTGGGTTGTCTTTTTAGTCATGATATGATAACAGGATCAACGACCTAAAAGCATTTCTTATGAAGTTATAAAATCACGATAATTTAGGTGTAAGTAAAACCTTTGTGAAATAATGTATTTCTATTAGTCATGTGCACTTTCTGCATTCATCATGTTCTCAAAGTTTACATTCTAAGGGTGCAACAAAATGTTTACTTCATTCCCAGCAAGGTACAGAACATTCTGAATTATCCTGTGTTAATTAAAAGAGTCCTTATATTGTGCTACAGAGAAACACAGGAATGTTCACAGAAGAAACGGTATGGTAATCTGAGGTTTGCTACATAATAACAGGGGCAGTGACAAGGCTCCTGAAAGCCACAGACCCCAGAGTCCCTACACTATACTGTTCTCCTTTGTTTGGGGTATGATTAAAATTTTCAATGAAACTTTAAAATTTAGGACAAAAACAGCTATTACCCACTCTAACAAGCAGGTATGTTTAAGAAAAAGCTGAGTGAGATGAATATTATCCTTAAATGGGGATGATAAGAGATAATTGATCCCCGTTTGTCTGATGCTAGAATTACATTTCTGGAGTGCTTTCATTCTCCAGAGAAGGATTACAGGTTGCTTATCTTAGAAAGATTTGACAGGGTAAGCCCTTGGATACCGTTGAATACACCAAAAAAATGTGCATCGCTAAATTAATTCAGATAAATATAAAATGCATCCAGGAGGGAGGGTAAGGTGGTTCTTTAGCCACAGGAAAAGTACTTCATGTTTTAGATGACTTTTTCCATGTGTGTTTTTGCAATTCAGCAGGTTCTCTTTCCACACATGCTTAAAGCAAAAAGTCAAAAGCAAATTAGTGAGATCCAGGATCAATGGTATAGTAGTTTCAGTTACTAGTCTAGATTAAGGAATGATTAGCTTTTATGTGGGTAATGTGAGCCTTATAAGAACAGAGTATGATTTAAGACTACAGGAATACAAGGGGGTTTCACAAAGTTCACGGAAAAGTTCCAATCTCTTTTAAATCTCATTTTTCCATAAACTTTTTAGAGTTATCAAGCAATCCAATGAGATTTAAGACTAGTTGATAAAAACAACAAAGCAATTTCATTCATTCCAGGCCTTGAAATAACAGATCATATTCATGAAAAAGATTTTACAAATTGTACCTGGGTTTTCCCATAGAAGCTACGTTTAAAAAGATAATTATTTTCCTGAGTAAGGGCTGAATAACGTTCTACTGAAATAACTACTAGCACTGTATTTAATTACCATTTAAAATACGTGCATCATAATGCTTATTAAAATAGGTACATGCTTAACAGTTTAGATAACCACAAATTTATATTTTATAAATTGTATTTTAAAAATTGATAATTTGTGTTTTCATGGTGAACAAACATTGTAATGTGTAAAATTTTCCATGTGTGGCAGTAGTTCTGAGCAGTATCATACATGCAAAAATATACAGGCTGTCCACAGATTACAAACTAGTTCCATTCCTAAATCAGTCTTTAGTCAAATGTGTATGTTGTTGTTGTTGTTAGGTGCCATCGAGTCGGTACCGACTCATAGCGACCCAGTGTACAACAGAACGAAACACTGCGCAATCCTGGGCCAACCTCACAATTGATGCCATGCTTGAGCCCAATGATGCTGCCATTTTGCCAATCCATCTCACTGGCAGTCTTCCTCTTTTTCTCTGACCCTCCACGTACATGATAACAAACAATTGGGTACGGTTTGTAGCTCATGTTAGTTCTGTCAGTTCATCAAATGTCTGTCTTAGTATATAGGGTACCTTTCTATGCATGTAAACATCAGAGAGAGATGAAGTAAATTTCATGTAAAACGAGTGTAAAACTGATAATTCACACACAAAAAGTGTCCAACAAAAAACTCACCCAACGAGATGCACTTGCACACGCCCTGAACTATCTTGAACATGGTGGCATGTTAATAATTATAGAGTCTTGATGTGTATCCCACAGTAACACGTTTGCTACACTCTGTGGGCTTTAGTCTCACACCTTTCCTTTGATGGACAGATCAAGTGAAACGCAGCAAGCTATGCAGCATAAAATGCTAGACAGAATCCATCTACTGGTCAGAGATTTTTAAAAAATCAATGGCCAGCACATCAGTACAGGGTTTTTAATGCCGTCCAGTTTTTAGAAATTACAATGAACAATAGAAACTATGCCTAACTAGATAAAGCCAATGAGTGAATCACATCATTTTTATAGTACAAAAGTACCTAGAGCCCAGGTGTGGTGCTGTGGGTTAATGCGCTGGACTGCAAAGTCGGGGATTCAAGCGCTCCTTGGAAACCCTATCAGGGTTGCTATGAGTTGGAACCACTTTCGAAAGCAGTTACCACCACCACCACCCACGACAGTTTTACCAAGGCCACAAAACTAGTCTCTTACATCTGCAAGTGTGTAATGTATCCCTTTCTTTCTGATCATGAGCTGGCATTAAAATGTGACAACCCCAAGAAAGAAATGGTTACTGGGGCCAAGAACACACTGAGAGGCTGAACTACTGCTACACTGTGCTCCTGATTAGCAGAGTAGGCGATACAGTGTCTGTGGGCTAAAACTGGGCAATAAAAACAGTAGCTCCAAAGTTTAGAGTCCGGTCTTCAAACTCTTGCTTGTTGTTGTCGTTAAGTGCCTTTGAGTCAGCTCTGACTCAGTGACCCTATCTGGGGCTCCCGAGGAGCGGCTGGTGCGTTTGAACTGCCGACCTTGCAGTCACGCGCACACACCAGAAACTCTTGCTTAGTTCTCTTCTGTTAATTGTACTAACCTGAACTGATACATAATTACAACATCCTTTGTAGAAACAAGCTTACCTGGCAATGTTATCACAAATTCCGTGGCCTCCAAATTTTGCTGTTTCTACAGGGGCCCCTGGCTTTCTCACCATGATTTTCAGAGTCAGGCGTTTTCCCTTCATGCCAGCAGCTTCAAGTCGTCTCTGAATTTCTTCTGAAAGACTCAGAAGAAAAGCTTCTGCTTCTTTTGGCTATGAAAAGATAAACATGAAAAAACATCCATGTTAATTTCCTATGTACCTAACTTTTTTAATATTAAGCATGCCTATTACTATTATTAAATGGTGTGGTACAATAGGATAAGCATTTGACTGCTCACCACAAGGTTGACAGTTCAAACCCATCAGTCAGCCACTCCTTGGAAAACCTATTTAGGGTCAATATGAGTCAGAACTGACTTGACAGCACTTAACAGCAACATTATTTACTAAAGTCCTGTTGTGGCCTTACAGAACAAGCACTGGGCTGCTAACCCCAGAGCTGGCGGTTCAAACCCACCAGCAGCTCCTGGGAAACCCTACAGAGTGTTGCTATGAATAAGAACCAACTCAACAACACTTAACAATGACAATTATAATTATTTGCTATCTTGCTAAGCTTCTATTAAAAAATAAACATCTATACACCCATCTTTCCAACCAAGCAAAAGTAGCCTAAGTCCCTTTAAAGGAATCTTTCTTGGTTGTTTATGCCATCTGCTACAGATTTTCTGCAACAACAGTGAAGTGTTACTAAGATGTGCTTTCCTCAACACTGATCTACTCGGATGGAGAGCCAGGTGCCACCTCCACCCTTAGGAAGACTTACAAGGAACACACGATAGGGTGACGAATAGACGATCAGACTTCAAAGGCTCATGATTGGTGTTTTGGGGGATATTTATGCTTAGAGACACGGCCAAACCTAAATATATCTCCCAGAGGAAAATGAAAACTTCTCAGTGATCTGGGCTGCTACCACTTCTTTCCATAAACATGAATCACTAAAAGCTGAAACTTAATTTTAGCCACAGATCAAAAAGTTCATCAACATTAAATATTTTCTGGTCTTTTTGTTCCCTATACTAGAAATTGGAATACTTACAACCTGAAATTCTGCAAGAGTTGACCCCAAAAGCACAATAACTATTTCATACTTTTCCCCCAAATCTGAGTTCCCTCAGTCTCATCCTCTCACTACACTCAGCTTCAATCAGCTTCTTGTAGACTTTGGAAACACCAAGCATGTGCACAGTGAACTTGGGGCACTAAGGGTCTCACAGTGTGGGGGGAAGACAGGACCATGGAGAGCACCGCAGAAGCACATGAGGTTCAGCAGTCAGAGCTCGCTACCTGGGAGAATCTTATGCCATAGTTGATCTCAGCTGAGACAGACTTTCTTTCCTTCTCAGTTCGAACTGGTCGATCATCCAAACCACGGCAGAACCTATAAAGCATTTGACCTGTTTTGGGACCAAATTCTTTTTGGAGTTTTGCCATGGTCATAGATTGCAAGTCTCCACAAGTTTTAATTCCCAAAGATGTCAACTTGGATTCCATCGAACGTCCAACTCCTACGAACAGATATACAGTTGTTAATAGAAAAAAACAAATGAAAACAATGTTAGCAACACGCAGTAACTATCGTTTATGCAAAAACCTAATTTAAAACTATAACTCCCTTATAATTCTTTAGTGCACAATCCTACTAACCATGTTATTTCTAGAATCTAATTCTCAATTTGGATCCACATACGGTAAATCAGAAAACTTCTCAAATACATAGGACTAAAGTAAGTTATCAAAAGAATTGTTGTTTTTGCTGTGAAGTGCCGTCGAGTTGATTCTGACCCATAGTGACACTGTACAGGGTTTCCAAGGAGCAGCTGGTGAGCTTGAACCACCAACCTTGCAGTTCAAATGACTTTGAAGTCTGATGCGTTAGCCCGCAGCACCACACCAGGGCTCCTATCAAAAGAGTATGAGTGTTACACGTCTCACTCAGTGTCAAAGTGTCTACCTTACTCACAAAAATCAAGTAAGTCATGTTGGTGCTGGCTGCCATCAAGTCGGTCCTGACTCACAGCAACCCCAAGTGTGCAGAGCAGAATTTGTCCATAAGGTTTTCAGAGCTATGTGCTCTTTCAGAAGCAGAAGGCCAGGTCTGTCTTCTGAGGAACTTCTGGGTGTGTTCAAACCATCGATCTTACTAGCAGTCAAACAATTGACCAGTGAGACCACCTAGGAACTTAAGATGTCATGGTTGTCAAGTACAGTCGAGTCGGTTCCAACTCACGGTGACCCTGTATAGGGTTTCTGAGGGTGTACATCTTTGCAGGAGCAGAAAACTTCATCTTTCTTCTGCAGTGGCTGGTGGGCTTGAACTGCCAACATTATGGTTCTCAGTAGGCTGTTAATTAATGCATCATGTAGTAAGGCCTACGGGCATTACTAGTAGACTGCCAGAACTTACAGGACTCTAGCAGATTTTGGTGATGACCAAATTTCACAATGGTTTCAGCCATAATTTCTTTGAATGAGAACTAGAACTTCTGGTACAGACGCACACCCAGAAATGACTTGCTGTCAAGACAGTTCAAAAGTAGCATCAATGACACAGAGATGAAGGTTCCTATGCAAATAAACCAGGGATTAGAGGAAGACAAGCAGATTTCCTTTATCAATTTAGAGAACCTCCAAAGAGCTGAGCCAGTTTCAGCAGCCCCTAGGTGGTGCTCTTAAAGATGCAAAAGCCTGAATCTCCCCACTACAGGATGCTGACAGGCTCTGCAGATCTAAGCTGGGTCCTTGGCTTTCCTCTATGAGCCCTGAAAGCTTGTAAAAGATAGATATATATTGATGCGGCTTCAGATGAGGAATCCATAATTCTTTCCACATCATCAAATAAACACTTCCATCACTGTATGTTTCTGGTCTTCTATGGGATCTTATCAAGAGCAACCTCGGTCATCACTGTCGCTGCAATTCTGGCTCTTATCCTCCTTTGTGGTATTCAGTAGAAGGAAGACAATCTAGTCCAGGTTCTCCCAGGAGAGCCGCCTTCAGAAGTAGCAATGTTGGACACAAAGTTAGGAAGTTCTCATGATTGGAGTCCTGGTGTGGCACTGTGGGTTAATGCGCCAGACTGCAAAACCAGTCTGAACTGCAAAGTCAGCAGTTCAAGCTCACCAGTCGTCGCTCCTTGGAAACCCTGCATAGGGTTGCTATGGGTCAGAACTGACTCGACAGCACTTAACAACAACAACATGGTCATGGAGAGAGACACTTTACCAAAGCAGCTGCAGTCATGTTGACTTCGATTCATGTGTGTTAGCTTACAAATATGCTACAATAGGGTTTTTTCCATGGCAGATTTTTTCAGCAGTACATTGCCAGGTGTTTCTATCTAAGGTGCATCTCGGTGGAACAGAACTGCCTATCTTTTGGGTAGTAACAGAGTGTGTTAGTCAGTTGTACCATCCAGGTACTTCTGAGACAAGTTTAAACTAAGATAACTCCCTAATGGAAATTACCAGAAAGGTGGTTTGGGCACTGCCTCCCCTTTGTGCCATTTTACGTTCCAAATTAGAACAAGCCAGACATCATAAAGTCCAAGTTCATCAGGTCACCACCATCACACACACACTCCCAACACACAAGCGGAACTAGGAGAAATACCATTCACAAAAAAGGTGAGATTCTAAGTGAAATCTAGTTGAGAATTTTCCAAAATGGAGGGGAGAGAGACCCAAGGGCATGGACTAAGGCTGGCCTAAGGTAGACTGCACACAGGTGTTATATTCTGGGAAGACTTTCTGTTTTCCCCTTTCATGGCTGTCCACTCCTTGTCCCGTGCCAAAGGGATCAACCATTCCTTTATAGATCTGGTAAGCCAGGCAGTTTTCATTGATTTGCAAGATTAGCGAAAGACATTAATAATCTAAATTTGTATGTTGTCTGTGTGTTTTTGGGAATATGGGGACTTAATACTGGAATAGAATTATTGTCAATAGTACCAAAAATTAAAAATCTTGTTATATTAAGGGAGTCCTGGTGTGGTGCTGTAAGATAAGCACTGGACTGCGAACCACAAGGTCAGTGGTTCAAACCCACCAGCCACTCAATGGAAATCCTATGCAGGGTTGTGATGATTTGACAGTAAGGAGCAGCAAATTAACCAATCAAATTGAACGTCAATATTCTCCTCAGGAGGCAGACGAGTTCCTCTCTACCCATCTGAGGGACTGGATGGCACCAACGCAGAACTGGGACGAGGACATCGTCACCTCAGTGGAGGTGAGTAAAGTAAGCTTGAAATCAACACCAAAACCCCCAGGTAACAGCTAGTTTAATATGTTAGTAAACACTTTTAAGGAAAAGAGAGCCATCCTCTATGAAGAAAAAAGCTAAAATGGGCCTTGAGGCCAGCTCTAGCACAGACACTAGAAAACATGAAGGGAAACACAACCGCTGTGAGAAACCAGTCTCCCAGAAGTAAAGAAAATCGACAAAGATACAGGAGCTCCTTGTCCCGCAGGTAGAACTAAGACCTGTCCTTGAAAGGGGATTATTACTCTAAATTAAAAATTGTGTAATAGCCCCTCTCTGGTACCCAGAGCTTGGCTGTCCAACACCGATGCAGAGGAAGAAAAGCTTCAAAGAATGACGTTTCTGTCATCTGTATTCATGCTTTCCATATCGTAGACACTTGTCTTGTGTGGCAACTGAGTACCTGAAATGTGGCGAGTACAGCCAAAGACCTCGACTTTTATTTAATTTCAGCTAATTTAAATTTTACCATCTACAGAACAACAAAAAACATGTGGCTAGTGGCAACTACACAAGGACAGCATAGATCTTGTGCCAAGATTATTGCTGTGTGTCGTCGAGTCAGTTCCAACAGTCCAGTGCTCACCCTACAGTCTTTACTAAGGGAGTAAGTGCTATTCATTCTTTAAACATATAGAGTACTCCAATATACCAATAGCTTGAAATTGCAAAAATCCAACCAAAGAACCAAATATATTTATAGTATTATTATTGGTGTGAAATGGAGAAGGGGAATTTTAGTCATGAGAATTCATGAATGTTCTCATTAAAGCAATATTGACCTGGTCAACCATGTAGTACCTGTCTCCACCAGTGCCCACTGTGCACCATCTCTCCGTACACACTCATTCCTAAATTCTCACACGTTCTGCTTTCTGAACTGGGAGTATGATGGTGGTCATAGACAACATGCCTTCCTTCTCCTTTCTGACCAAAACTTGAAGCAATCTCATTCTATGTAAGGCCAGCTAGAGAGCCTTTAGCCCGTCTCTGAAGCAGCCAACTGAGAATCAACTTCACCAAGATCCTACAACAGGGGTTGGAGCCTGTGGCTGGAGCCAGTGTCAGGTCCAACACATCAATATCAAAAGTCAGATTGAAGGTCTGTCTGTTCCATGATCTTTGGGATACCAAACTGACCGATGACCTACAAAGGAAAACACCGGAGATCACATTTCTTGAAAATGAAATCTCCAGGAGGTTCAATGCCTCTTAGAGAAATATATATGCCAGCCAGGAAGAGAACAAGGTTTGATGCAGGAAATCTTGGGAATTGTGGTACTCTGTCCTGTAGTTCTGTGAGGAAGCATCAAACTGGCTTGTTCATGGAGATTTCCAGAGGAAGTAGGTGGGTGTACTGGTACTGATGTCAGCTTGGGGATGGACCCCTGATGGTGGGAAGATCAGGGCAGTGCTGGATGTGGCCACTAATAGAGCCGACTTGTCAGTTTGTGGTCTCTTACCATGACAGCTATAGCCACCTGACAAGGCCCTACTAACCTGTCTCAGCCAGTTCCTGGTTGGCAAGGCCCAAGGAGGCTGTTGTGGGCATCATCTTTGGCAACTGAGTATTGTAACATCAATCTTCAAATTCTTCTGGTGTCAGTCCAAATTAGACAGCCTTTTTATCAAGCCAGCTTCTTTTGTAGCAGCTGGACTATAGTCCACTCTTTTCCCCACTGTATTGTTCTTTCTGTGAGGCCACAGAAACCTGTCAGCTCTCTGCCCACTGTCTGCACCCCATACAGAGTGCCTTGTACCCCTTCCCTGGCCCTGTCATCTACAGGAAAAGGCCGACAGCAGTACTCTCTCTGAGCCCCGTGTACATGCTTCTTCAAGAATGCAGACAGCTCGAACAAGGTTAAGCCACAGGTATTTGCATTGGGTGGCAGGCCTTGCAGAGATTGAGAGAACATGTAAAAACGGTTATTATTATTAACATAGTTATTGGGGACAGCCCTTCCTTTCATTGGAGAAGCAGATTCCATTACTTTACTCATTAGCTGAAAATCATTATTCTGAGTTGTTTCCTAAATTAAAATTTTTTAAATGTGTTTTTCCTTCTTATTAGTCACTGTAATTGTTTATAATTTTGCTAGGTACACAATTACGGGTGAAAAGAGCTTGAGGAGGCAGGGGGTGAGGATAAGAAGGGGAGAATTACCACTGAAATATCTTCTGGTTATTGGTTAGAGAGCAAACTTCCTTAGGACACACTTCATCAAATGCTAATAGGTACTATATACAAATCATTAAATTATCTTGGGGAAATCATTTGCTTTTAAACAGAGGTTAAGTTGGTTTCTTTACTACAGGAACTATCAGAAGAAACTTTACTGTGTGTGGGGCCTCCACTACAAAGACACAGCAGTGGGCTTCGCACACATGTGCAATTCCTGGAACGGCTTATATTCTGTGGAATCAGACACTTTGGGGAGAAAATGAATGCACTAAACGCAGAAGACATACAGCTATTAGTACAGCAAGATGACTTTACAGACTGATTCTCCAAAGTTGATCTTTGGTCTAGAAGTAAGTAAGCTCTTTTTCGAATTACGAAGTTTTTTTTGTTTTGTTTTGTTTTTTTAAATTAAAAGGCATTTTCATCATATTCTGTTTTCAGAATTTCATAGAATTCCTTGATCTTGCTGCTTGGGAAATACTAAGGGTAAAATCCAAGAAAAGTAAAATTAAAACATAAAACAAACTTCTAATAAATCAAGGGGACACAAGGGGGCTTCAGACGTTCTTGAGAAAATTCTACTATCTTTTAATTCCATTTTCCCAAATCCCCTCCTACTCATCAAGTAATTCTCAATTTTGATTTTCATCACACAGAAAAAGCTTAAAAACTTTTAAAATTCATGTCTGGGAAAACTATAAAAAGCAACAATCAATGTCTACAATAAATAATAAATAAAGCTTCAGTAGACATGTGTTTACCTGGCAGATTAATAACTAGCTGTCCTCTGATAAAATCATCGACTTCTTCTGGCTTTAAGTGGTATTGCCCATCTGGTTTTGCTTTTCGAGTTGCCATTCTAGCCAGGAGAATATTAGAACCTAAAAAGCATTAGAAAAAAGTAAATTGCTCAAGAAATGTTTGCATTATTTTCTTAGTTTTCAAACACAAACACAACTATAGTCATGTTACTTACAGGGCAGGTCTATGCAGTACGTAGTAAGCGAATAAAAAACAAAAACGAACAACTACACCTTAAGATGAAGCGATACTCAAGTATTCCAAAGCCCCGCTCTGAGTAGAGAGAATAGGACAACACAAGCTGAACACTAACCAATTCCAACAGAGGCAGCACACTGAGTTTGGGCTTTGATTTCCATACGAACAGCATTTGCAAATTCATCAGGTGTAAGTCTAGTCTCCACCAGGATTTCAGTGATGTCTACTAGTGCTTCATCACAGCTGACCGCTTCGATATTATGGGTATAGCTGTCAACATAAGGCAAAGGCTATCAGTCACAGCACATACAGCAAGATAAAGCCTTCCTATGTATAACATTCTTCACTATATCCTCACTAGGTTTTAAATGCTAGAAGAAAGCGAATATTTAAAAATAAAGTGCCATTACATTTTATCTGCAATTAATTAATGTTTTCTCTTTTTCTATATTAATGACTAAAAACACAACAAAAACGATTCCAGTTTCTCTATACTGAAAATGTTCCGTAAGCCTCTAAACAGCTGAAAAGTTCTAGTTCAAATGTTTGAGACCTATCAAACATTTATTCTAAAAATCTTCAACTGTTAAGTTGACCAGAATCAGTCAAATAAGTCACTGCTGCTCTAAAACAAAAATGCAATTAAATACCATCCACAATAACCGGTCTAGGATGCAGTAGGATAAAATGGTCAATAATTCCAACTGTCTGAGAGGATGACATTTACATTCCATGCTCATATAAATACCTTGTTTTTTGGTTTTGGTCATCTTACATATCTATACCCACAAAAGATTTTTAAGTAGAAAAGAAGAAAATGCAGAGTTGCTATGTGGCTATAATGCTAATTAAGTATAAAGAGTATTAAACCATTAAAACAAAATTGAACTTAAAATATAAAGCAACCAGTGACCTCAGAATCAAAAATTCATCTTCAATAAAGACTCACCTTTCATTCACACCTCACTGGAGGTTACAAATCAGATTAATACCTACACTCTTTCTAGAGATGCATGTGCTTTGTTTAAACTGAAATGAAGTGAAATTTTAGAGAACACAAGAGTATGTCTGATATGAAAATTTTTTCTTCAGCATGAAAGTTGCTCCAAGCTACATGACACTGAAAAATGTTTGCATGGACAAACGTCGCATCAGGACTCCAGTATAGACGGCTGCCCCTCAAATCCTTTTGATCTGAGCTCCAGGCTGGTAGTTTCCCTGAAGGGCTCACATGCAGTTTACAGCAATACGACTGCTCTGTTCAGCTCAGTTATCTGTTCCCATCCCAAATCCGCATGCTACCACTGACCTTAGCTTTAGAACAGAGATTAAAAGCCCTCTTTCCACTTGCTGACACCAACATTCCAATGTCTGCGATCTTCAGACAGTTATGATGGTAACTGACTTAACATTCAGCACTCAAGCCTACATACTCACACCAGATACCTTCATCTGTCCCTTTTTATGTTTTTCTCCTCAGCTAAGTTAAACTCTCTTTGATGGCAAGAACTGTATCCTAAGTCCTCTTTGTGAGAGTATGTAACAGGTATTCAATATAAAGTGTATGAGAGAAGAGGTAAAGATAAAGGCAAGAAGTACAGCTCTTGGAATATCAGGAGCACAGTGGCTGACAAACACTGGCCTATGGTGAGTTTTGGTGAGTCCAGTTCTGCAGGACCATAGCCACACCCACACCTTTCTTCACCTACACCCACACCCTTCTTCACCTACACCCACACCCTTCTTCACCTACACCCACACCCTTCTTCACCTAGTATCATCAGTGGCTGCTCTGGCACCACACAGCCAAGGTGGGCAGAAGCCACGGAGACGCAACGTGGCCCTACACAGAGAAAGGATGCCAGTATATATTTTACAATTTTCAAGTTTTGAACTACTATCAAATATATCTATACTCTAAACACTTTTTAAACTTAATTTCTTTCTCAAGTCAATTAATCATTGTCTATAAAACTATTACTAACTAACTTTTGACCTGCCTAATTATTTCACAAAATAAAGAGTCTCTACATCCCTTATCAACAAAATGTGCAAAGATCTGTAATCAGAAAACCAAAAATGAAGAACACGCTCAGCATTTCTCAAGCTTGGGAAACTTCATCAAGAGAAGATGGAAGGAATACTCAGAGTCACTGTACCAAAACGAAATGGTTCATGTTCAACAGTTTCAAGAGGTAGCACATGATCAAGAGCCAATGATACTGAAGGAGGAAGTCCAAGTGCATTGAAGGAATTGGCAAAGAACAAGCCACCAGGAATTAATGGAATAAAAATTTAAATCTTTCACCTACACCTATGAATGCAGCAGCTCAAAAAAGGAAACAAACCCCTGGTGCAAGAACTATTCCCACCCCCTTCACACAAAGGGTAGATAGGGATGGGCAACTTGGACACTGGCTACCCAAAATGGGAGGAGGGATACAAAGGCAAGAAGGGATTGGCTTACAAACTTTCAAGAGGGAACCTAGATCCAAAGGGTGTGGAGGAAGGTAAAGTCTCCAGTGAATAGTGTCCAGCCTGTCCAGGAAGGGCTAATGAAACGAAATATAGATGGGTCTCTTGTGATTCAATGGTGAGTAATTGTTATCAGGACTGATTGTGAGGGTTGGAAATCTAAAGATGGACATTTTGTAGCAAACAGGGGAGTGATTAACTTATCAGTCTAGGAGCGGAGGACCCTGGGACCACCAATGGAGAAGAGCGAAGAGCAGAATCCTACCCAGAAAGGCGGTGAGGCCTGAGATGGAGGCAGGGAAGACGACGTCAAGAGATGGTGGGGCTAGGGACTCGGGATCAAGAGACAGAAAGGGGCTGAGGACTGTGGGGGGGGGCGGTGCAGGCTTACAGGGTACACCCCTTGGTTGGGTGAGGATGCATGGACAGGAGGGTAACTAAGCTAATGAAATGATGGATGATGGGATGATGGAATGAGTGTAAAGCTGATGTTCTTCCATGTAGACTATCACACAATTCACAATAAAACATTAAAAAAAAAAAAAATCTAAATCTTTCAAGAAAGTGAGGCGGCACAGGGCACTCATCTATGCCAAGAAATTTGGAAGACAACTATCTGTCTGACTGATTGGAAGAGATCCATATTTGTGCCCATTCCAAAGAGAGGTGATCCAATGGAATGTGGACATCATTGGACAATCTCTTTGATATCTCAAGCGAGTGAAGTTTTGCTAAAGGTAATACAGAAACGGCTACAATCATACATTTACAGAGAGCTTCCAGAGGTTCAGGTTGGATTCAGAAGAGGCCGTGGAACGAAAGATATCATTGCTGATGTCCGATGGATCTTGGCTGAAAGCAGAGAGTATCAGAAAGATGTTTACTTGTACCTTATTGACTACACAAAGACTTTTGATTGTGTGGATCATGACAAGCTATGGACAACATTGCAAAGTATGAGTATTCTGGAACACTTAATTGTACTTCTGAGGAATCTGTACCTGGACCAAGAGACAG